TCCCGCTGCAAAGGATAGGCAAACAACATCGAGGAATTTCCGTTCCTATGCAAGGGCGCTGTAAACACGCCTTCCCAACAATATAGAGGCTGTGCTTTGTGTGTGGTCCGTGCAAAGTCGTTACAAAGAAGAGTCGAGTCGAGTTTCGAGAAGCCAGCCTGCCGGGACATTTGCCTGTGATTAGAAGAATTAAAATGAGTCTAATCTTCGGACAATGCAGTTAAAGAATTAGGGCAAGAAAGGAATTAGTCAGTGAAAAGAAGACTTCGTGTGGGATTTGAAGTGACAGACTGTTACAAATTCGTTGCCAGGATACGACTAGTGAAGGCTGAGAACTCTTAGTGTGTGTGCAACAGTGAACTCTGAAGCCGGTTCTCACGGTCTCTTCGCTTGCAGATTTCCTATACTTTTTCTTCTACCCTGAAGATGGAGGCGATACGTTCCTCCGAAACGTCGGTTAACACCACATATACACGGTGCCAAATCCCAGAAGACTGCTTTCTTCATAGTCACCGCCGTGAAAGCCTCAAATCTTACATAACGCTAAGTGTTATCAAGTCTCTGTATTTAAAAGATATATGATGTATTTTATATATCGATATATCAGCGTTTCTCCCAAAAATATTGATGGGACCTCGAACCGACAGGATAACCACAGCAGCGAACAAGAAAGTGGAAAATATGTATTGGAAAAGGGTAGGGGAAAGCGCGAAGTAAAATTATAAATTTCGTCCTTTAGAAACTGACACACCCTAACATAAATATCTGAACACCTAAAAACTATGGCGCTGATTTAAGGTTACTTTTGTAAAGTATTAAAATAAACAGCACTTAAATTCTGAACTAGGCACATCCCAGTGACACGTTAAAAACTACAAGTACAAGTCAAGTAATACTGTGTGTGATAGCAATACTGAAGTTTGGACACAACAAATGCCGAAATCCCACAATGGTTGCGATCCTGAGTCAGTCCCTTCCTTACAATTAAAATTTCGCGTTTCGTACTAAGAATACATTAGAATCTGGTAACTTCATACTCCTGAATAAGTGTTATTCAGTGATCAACGAGCATACTCATGATTAGGCGTCTTGAAAAATATACATTTAGTTGCGTAACGCACAACACATTCTTGCCATGCGACTGTACTTCCTTCTATAGAAAGTAAAAAAAAATAAAGCTATCCCTGTAACAGGCCGTGAAGGCTCGTAGGGTTGTGAGGCGTTGAGGTTGCCACATTATCTAGACAATCGGCTCAAAGATGGCGGTGAGGTTGTCAGCCTTACGCGCCGGCCGCGCTTTACTCACATGGAAAATTATTTAATTAATTCCTGGTACTCATTTCTGTTAGAGACTGAGTCGACTCCAGAGTCATAGTGCGGCCGGAAGGAGTAGGTCAATTGCAAAAATCCAATTACCTCATCGGGACTTGAACCCGCGACGTTCCGGCTTGTAGCATAGTGCCTCAACCAACTACGTTACCACGTGCCCCCAAATAAACAAAGTAATAAACTTAAACCAATTCGTTCTGGTAAACAATAAACAATACGTCACCATGGGAAAGACCGCTTCAATTATTGTAGACATGTTGTGAACTTGTACAGCGTAGGCTTATCCATATCTTAATAACAAAATTCATTCATATTATAAAATTATATTCTCTCAGGGCTAATTTACTAAATTCTCTGTACAATACACAACACAAAACTGCACTTACATTAGTGCAAAACGACGAAAATATCATAGTACTATACGTTGTGGTTCGAGGTCGATATTAATCGATATATACTGCCAACGTCACTCGTATATTCTCGCGTGTTCAGATTACTATCAGTCTGCGTCCCTCGCCTTTGGCTCCCTAAGAAGCCCTTTACTCTTAGTGCACAATATAAAAACCGGTAACGTCCGTTTCCTTCGAGAGGCGTCGATAATAGGAGAGCTAAGTGTTCAAATAGAAAATTCATGTTTCTAGATTGCTGCTCGCCTTATTTTCGTTACATCACGTCACATCCACACGTCTCGGTCGAGTGTTGCCACTCCTGCTTCGTATTCGAAGGCCTCGAGTTCAAATTCAGGCCCAAATACCGGATATTTTGGTTCAGAATTTCGTTGTTCAGTCATTCCAGGCAAATTTCCGGATATTACCTCAAATTTGGTCACGATCATCTCCTTTCAGACCTTCTGTAACACATTACATATTAAGCTTCATACAGGTGTAGGTTATGCAGTCTGAGTTATTTAGAGCGTTGTTAAGCGGTCTCCGTAGTCTAGGGGTAACGTTCCCACCTCATGACTCAAGGTCGTGGAATTTTTAAGGGCGGAAAAGTTCAGGGAACAAGTCCTCCGGGAGGGACTTTAAGCCGTGGGTCCCGTGTCGTAGATTTACGGCACGTAAAAGATCCTCATGTCTCTAGGAGACCTCTGAGCAAAATTAGGCAAGTTTCCCGCCCAAGTAGTTTCCAATACCTCTGGTAGATGGGGGAAGCATCAAGGTACCGAGGGCCGACCTCGTTGGCTCAACGGGGCTGATAGAACGCACCAGTACCGGCAGGGTATGGGGACTGGTAGAATATCAAAGGGGGACGTACAATAGATCAACAACTGGTCGCGGTGCATGGGGAAACCCACCCCCTCAAATAATAATAACAATAATAATAATAATAATAGAGCGTTGTTAAATAAACCAAAATAGATAAATAAAAACATCATTAATATTATCACTGATAATTGAAAAAATCCAATGACCTCATCAATATTTGAACCCGCGACCTTCCCATCTGGAAAATAGTTTGGAATTTTTTTTGTTTCGTGGAGTGGGGTGAGACTGAGTCCGCTTGGTACGTCGGCCACTACTGCCCTATTGTACCAGCCCCGGACGATAGATGTTGAGTGTGGAGCAGTCGGTGGAATGATAATTGGCAGGGGAAACCGAAGTACTCGGAGAAAATCTGCTCCAATGCCACTTTATCCACCATAAATGCCACATGACCTGGCCTGGGCTCGAAACCTTGCCGCCGCAGTGGGAAGTTGGAATAATTACTCTTAAACAATAATCCTGTATTGAATAACATATATTTTGAATACATGATTCTGAGCATATAAAATTATATCCATATAATACATTCCGTGGCAGCTTTACAATACATTGCATAGACAGAATATATAAGAAGTCCACATAAAAACAAATTATTTGAAGCATGGCTGAAATAACGTGCGATCAATTCTATTTACCTATTCGCTTTCATCCTGTGATTACTGATATACCCGGGTGTAGTTCTGCATAGCAAAGAGAATACCGAAGTGGGGTCTGACTTTCCATCGCACAAATAACCTTTAACGGCCACATATAAATGCAAAGATTACTGAACGAATTGCATTTCATAGCCTACATTCATATTTAAATAGGAGAAGTATGTATTTTCTTTCAAAATTCAAAGACACATATTTCGTGACAGTAAAGGTAAATACATGGTTCATTCAGAATAGAATAATTATGTTATATTCATAATGTTGTGGCATAACATCGCAACTGCGTAGTGTTAAGAACAATTCATTGCTTTCAGAAAGGCCAGAAAGTTTGTTACTTCCTTTCCTGGCCACAACTAACTATCGTTTCCTGCTCAGAATTAATTCTGAAATCGTCATTCCTTCAGACATTTGGAAGAACGTCTTAGAAGAAAGACTGGTCCATTTCCAGTGTTCCATTCTTACAGAAATAAATCTGGAATTCAACTTTTCATAAATGGGATTCGAACATCTTATCCCATGCCGTACTTTCAAATGTACGCTGTTTATTATGAATACATATTTTCTTTAACTCACATGTTATTTCTAAGAAGTGTACAGGCTACAAGCTAAAAAGTGTACTGAAAACGGGGGGAGGGGGTCATAATCCTAGCACCACAAATGCAGATTCTGAATCAGTAGATTAGTATGATCAAAAAGAGATAATTTGAAAATTAGAAAAATGAATTTCCGGTGTGAGAAATTCGGCGAAATTTTGCGTTCAACATAGACCTCTAGGTGGCAAACTACGTCCATTTCCAAGCATTCCAACGAAATGTCACAATACATCCGTTAAAAAACATTATTTTCAACGATATAAATTATAATGTGAGTAGCTGTATATTGGATCTTAGAGAGATAGGATGGGATGGTATGGATTGGATAAATCTGCCTCGGGATAGGGACAAGTGGAGGGCTCTTGTGAACACGGTGATGAACCNTTGTCCGCTTTTTCAGTTTTTGATCCTATACACAGTCTGCAGGACTCTTTGGACGGGGGATCAGCCTATCGCAAAGCCGCTACTTACACACAGGACAACACAAACACAGAATAAACGTAAACAGACATCAATGCCTCGAGTGGGATTCGAAGCCGCGATCCCAGTGTTCGAGCGAGCGAATAGAGTTCAAGCCTTAGACCGTGTGGCCACAGTGTTTGGCAACTGTAAATAATGTTTCCAGACAGTGGCATCCTTGTTAGTAAATTAGAGGTCAGTCCATTAAGAGACCGCATACTCTTAAACTACAGATGGTCTCATATTCATGTTTGTTACAACAATAAAATTGTACTGTGAGTAATTTTTCAAGATGGAAATTTAACTGCTGGCTCACTTTTTCACGGCGGTGACTAGAAAGAAAGCAGTCTTCTGGGATGTGGCACCGTGTAGATGTGGTGTTAACCGACGTTTCGAAGGAACGCATCGCCTCCATTTTCAGGATAGAAGGAAGAATAAGAAAATCCGCAAGCAAAGAGACAGTGAGACATGATTCTTGTTCTGAATGTGAAACAGGCGAGATAAGGTGGCTGAGTCGGTCGAGTGGCTACAGTCTAGTCCACTCTGTATTCTCTCTTCGCCGTCACGTCCAAAGCAGCTATTGGGCCCACAAAGCCTTTATTCAATGGGCACTGGGAGGCACCTTTATCTCCTGAAGCCTTTTGATGTGAAGTGTCGGTTAGTTAACGAGATGAACACAGTATGACAATTCTTATTTGCAGGTAAACGGCGAGCGGAACCCGAGTGAAGTGTACAAGGACTTCCGGTCGGTGGTGCTGCAGACTCTGGGGATGCATGATCAAGGAACAGAGGGCCCGGTAGTGCCCGCAAACGTAGTTCCAGCGCCAGTCGTTGAGAAGATCTCGGAGTCCATACCCTACAAGGCGCCTGCCAAGGGCTTCCCACCGGTCATCTGGGTGATAGGCGAGTGTCTCACGCGAAATAAAGTGATATGAAAGGGGAGACAACTGTAATGCATGCAGAGTGCCTTCTGCAGTAACTGCCGGAGAAAAATGCATAAAGTTCCATTACAATTATTCACAATTGGCTAGGGACGGCCATTTATGTCGAACCTTCAAATGTCATTCATAGTTTCTTTCTTCTTAGTTAGTCTGTGGCTTGTTAGTAACTAAGTTGGTTATTTGGTTATTTGGCTTTTAGTTTACTGGCTGATCAGTAATTTAGTTGGTCCATTATTATATTACTTTGTTAATAAGCCGATTTATTATCAACTCATTCTGTTGTCTAGCTACGTGGTTAGTTCGTTAGTGTGTTGCCTGGTCAGGCATCTACTTTGTTAGTTGATTGATTATATGTTTCGTCAGTACTTTGCGTGATTAATTAGTTGGCTGGTTAATTTGTTGGATACATTGGAAATTAGTTATTTAATTAGTCAATTTGTTTAGTGATTAAACAGTTATCTCTTAGTTGGTTGTTCGCTTAGCCACCCTATCCGTTCGTATAGATGGTTACTTGGTGTGTCAATCAGTTCGTCTGTTAGTCACTCAGTCATGTTTGTTATTTACGCTGAGTCCTAAAACAGAGCCTTCAATCAATGTTACGATCTTATTACATTCCGCTAATGAATGAATATGGGTACGCGGTAGTGTAGTTGTTTGAGACACTATACTACAAGCCGGAAGGTCACGGGTTCAAGTCCCGATGAGGAGAATTTTTTCAATTGACCTAATCCTTCAAGCCACACTATGACCCTAGGGTCGATCCAGCCTCTAATAGAAATGAATACCAGGAATCTTGCTGGGAGTAAAGGGAGGCCGGCGCGTAAGGCTGACAACCTCACCGCCATCTGTGAGCCGATTGTCTAGACAAATGGGAGCCTCGACGTCTCAGAACCTTATGGGCCTTCACGGCCTATTACTGGGATAGCTTTACGTTTCGTGAATGAAGGGAGTAGAGGTGAATTTTGTAGAAATCATTAACAACTGCCACTTTCTCACGTACTCGGATTGTGTTCCCGTGGTTCTGCGCCACTTGATTCGCAACTGTCTGTGCAGGGGGTCCCGGCAGCAACAAGTCGGCTCTGTGTCAGAAAGCGGTGCGACAGGCACCGGGCTGGGTCCACTTCAGCGTCGGGAGGTTGCTGAGAGCTACAGCGGAGACGACGGACCCTAGGCAGGGCAACGACTCGCACCTCGTGCGACAAGCCATTTCGTCCGGGGAAATGGTGGCGCAGGTAGGCTGCGTCACTCGCGTGCGTACTGAACGAAAGTCACGCACTCCTATTACAAAATCCATAAAAACTGCCGTATTCAGGTTTTATCTTGACGTTCTTGAAAGAATTTAGGTTCCTACCTACCTTCAATGCCCCGTGTATCCTGACGGAGCCCTGACAGGAACTGCAACTAAACCGGAGGGGTTGACTTGGCGGTAACGCCCTACATTCGTATCCGGGAGGTGCTTAGTTCGAATCTCGACCCGAACACCGACTTTCTGAGTTTCTTCGTGATTGTCCTCAGTCCTTCCAGGTAAATGATTAGGCCACAACCGCTACCTTCCAAATACTTTCCAACTCATGTTTCATCTGTCATCCACCAATTCTATGCTATATCTAGCTACTGAGAGCGCCATTAACTAACCCAATAATAATAATAATAATAATAATAATAATTACGTCATAGTGGGCTACCTCTTGTGCAATGATCACCGGTAGTATTACAAATCCCACTTCTTCAATTTTATCAAACACGAAATTTTAACTTCGTTTCGATTTAATGTTATAGCGACTGGCTACTGGCTAGATGACAAAGGAGTAGGAGTTCGAGTCTCGGTAGGGTCAAGAATTTTCTCTTCTCCAAGTCGTTCAGACCGGCTCTGGGGTCTACCAAACCTGTTATTTAATGGGTACTGGAGGCTTTTTCCCCGAGGGTAAAAGCAGCCGGGGCTTGAAGCTGACCACTCACCTCCAACTAGTGCCGAGCTCAAGAAAATGTGGATATATAAATCCACTCCCCATGCGCCTTCATGGCGTAGTGCTTATTTAGTTAAGCACAGGGATAACTTTACCTTCGATGTCACGTTTGTAATATTTCAACGCACAAAACACGCCTTGAGAAACACAACGTGTGGATACGTTTGCAGACAATACTGATAACCAGGGCCCGGATTTTGATGACCTGAAAATATTTTAAAAATGACTTATAAAATGACCGAAAAAATCCAGAAAAATGACCTAAAATATGACCCAAAAATGTAATATGCAGGGCCCGGATAGTTCTTTATGTACTAATTTTTATGTCCTTAGACAGCAGACGAGGAGACAAAAGGATCTGGAATGAATGGTAGCAAGCATTACCCGAGTTCAGTCTCCTCTTAATTTCTTCCTTAATCAAGTTTTGATTTGTTACTGTCGTTCCC